GCAACAGTGTACGAGCGAGTGCCTAGCTAGGCTATAGTCATTTCCCATGCAAACGAAATGAAGGGAAGCGTACATGCAGAGATTTCTCGATCACGCTCTGAAATGGGTTAACAATGCTACAGTGTATCCGGAAATGGATCGAATCTTTTATTTCTTGATTGTCACACATGCATGCATACATCCCTGGGGCCAGGAACACACCCAGAACGGAGATGCAAAACTAAATGTTGCAGCAGTTACATGTCCTGCGACAGATGCACAAGGCCGCGCGCGTCTTTATACAAGTTACAAGTTCCGCACACAAGTGCGGGTGTGTCCGCAAAAGCCGGGGGGCCCATGGACGTAAAACTTGGAACCATATCTCTCGATTTGTGCGTGTCATCCTTGTGCAGGGGCCATGGTACCCTTCTCTGTATTTTTCCAATTCTAACATTTGTGCCGAAGCACATAATTCATAGAAAGATCAAATACTCATAGAATTCAGATTAATCGCCGTCACGGGGAATCGAACCCCGGCCTCCCGCGTACCGTTAGTATGACAGGCGGGGATACTGACCACTATACGATGACGACATGACAGAGAAATATTAAAAAATTATATAATATTTTGCCATAGACGGCGCTTATACATTACCTTGCAAATGATGAGCAAGAAAGGCTGTCGTAATGTGTATGTGTGCCGAAGATCATCTGCTTGTTGAAGCTATATCACGCTTACCATCTCAAGCAAGGTAGCCTTGCACGCAGGTACCCCTGCCAGTGACACTAGCACCCCCTGCTGTGCACTCAACCTGTGTGACCAGTCGTACACGGAATTCCCTCCCTTGCCCTACTCTGCCCTTGCCCTCTCCTGTCCTCCTCTGCCATCCCTTGCTATCCTCTCCCCTCCTCAGCCCTCCCTCACCCTCTCCTGCCCTCTCTGTCGCGTCATATGACTGTAGCATCGAACAAAACACGTGCGTATGGCCGTGCCGTTCCTTGCTCTCCTCTGCCCTCCCTTGCCTTTTCCTGCCCTCCTCTGCCCTTTCTTGCCCTCCCTTGCCCTCTCAGCCGTCCCTTGCTTCCCTTGCCCTCTCCTGCCGTCCCTTGCTCTCCTCTGCCCTCCTCTGCCCTTCCTTGCATTCCCTTCCCTCCCTTGCCCTACTCTGCCCACCCTTTCCCTCCCGTGCCCTCTCCTGTACTCCTCTGCCGTCCATTGCCCTCTCCTGCACTCCTTGCCCTCCTCTGCCCTCCTCTGCCCACTCTTGCTCTCCCCTGTCCTCCTCCGCCCTCCCTTGCCCTTTCCTGTCCTCCTCTGCCATCCCTTGCCCTCTCCTCCCCTCTCTGCCATGGTTGGTGTAGGTGGCTTGTGATTGTGGAGAAAAGGTGGGATAGCGGTGAAGGAGAGTGGCTTGGAGGTGGACAGTAGGAGATGCTGGTCCCGGACGGTCAGGGTCAGGAGGGGAGGGATCTCAGTGTAGTAAGCGGGAGCAGGCAGTGCCTGTGTGCCATGCCTTTATCGGGCGTCTTAGGAGGCAATAAGTGCTTTTGTTCTGTCTTATACTGGGCTGCACCTGGAAGCCCGCAATCCCCAGGAGGAGACTGCTGTACAGACTATTTCTTTGCCTGGATGGGTAATGGAGCAGTGAGGTAATGGTGGCCATGCTAGGTGTATGTTGCTAGTGTTCGGTTAACAGCTGGCCTTAAAGGTTGCCTACCCAGGGGCCAGGAGGGTGTTCCCATTACCGGGGTGAGTGCTGCAGCTGCATGCCCACCCCTGCACTGTATTTTTCCTCAGTCCAGGTGCTCATCCTTTCTCACCCTGCAGGGTGAGCATCCCACATACAGTGGTGTAACACCGACCCCGTGAACAGTGGTAAGCATACCACAGCCGTGCTGCACATCCGCTTTTTTACCGTCGCGCCCTATGGTCACGATGGTAGCCACACCGCAAATCCGCCTTTTTACCGTCGCGCCCTATGGTCGCGATGGTAGCTGCGCCGCAAATCCGCCTTTTTACTGTCGCGCCCTATGGTCGCGATGGTAGCTGCACCGCAAATCCGCCTTTTTACCGTCGCACCCTATGGTCACGATGGTAGCCGCGCCGCAAATCCGCCTTTTTACCGTCGCGCCCTATGGTCGCGATGGTAGCTGCGCCGCAAATCCGCCTTTTTACCGTCGCGCCCTATGGTCGTGATGGTAGCCTGCCACAAATCCGCCTTTTTACCGTCGCGACCTATGGAGTCTGTTTGTTTTCATGCAGTTCAGTCAAGCCTAACATAATCATCGGAGCATGCCAAACTATGATTACAAATGGTAAGACTTAGCCCCCCCCCTCCCGGAGTGTCTATGCCCCGGGGTGGAAGTTGTCTAACGAACAACGGTGAGGCCAGGAACACCAATTGGTCAGCCAGCAGTGCTCGTCGTCCTCATGCCTCCGCTTCAATCGGCATGTTCATCACCCTCCCACCGGATCCAATTACGAATTTAGTAAAGCCCGCCTGTCCAAAACGCTGTGGACGTGTCAGATACGCCCCCGTCTGTGCCCGCACCCCCAATCGGAGACACTGGCAACAATGCTGATCCCGTCACCAATACACCCCGATCCTGAGATCCACTGCCGTAGCCCGGGACCAGCTGTGCATGGTGCACCCCTTCCAGGGTTTCGCCCACCAAACAAGAGTGTCCATCTCATCACCCCGCCATGTAGCTGGTAGTCCATGCCTCCGCCGGTCATGAAAGGGTCACATGGATATTGGCCTATGCCGTACACACCAGCGGCCGTGAATATGCTGCTGGCCCCACCATCCGCCTTGTATTCATCTCCGTATTCCACTGCCTGTAGATGACGTAGCTGTCCCAGGCCATGCATGTCACTGCTCGTGAAACCCCCATGGCCCCCTTAGTAGCTACCCGGCTGGTCCCCGCTGTATCCCCTCCCGTACAAGCCCCATCCAGGGCCCGTGCTGCTGCACTGCACCGCCAGGCCGGTCGTCACTGCTGCCACTGTCGCAGCGGTGATGGGCACCACCACCATCGCAACACAACTAATAGGATGCCATAGCATATGTCGTGGGGCCACCGTCAGGGGAAGGGTAGACATTGAAGATGGAGACCGAGGTGAAGCGGGTTGGTTATGAGGGCGGGTTTCAGGGTATCACGGGGGCCCCCCGCAACCTAGGCGCCACATTCGGTAAAATGTCATCATGGCCGCAGTCGGGGGATGGCAAAACGAGGGGGGAAAGGGGGAAAATGCGGCGGGGCGGAATGGTTTGGAGGGCGTGTTTCAGGGCATGACGGGGGCCCCCTGCAACCTAGGCGACGCATTCGTCCGAACATCTCCATGGCCGCAGTCGGGGGATGGCAAAACGAGGAGGGAAAGGGGGAAAACACGGCGGGGCGGATAGTTAGGAGGGCGTGTTTCAGGGCATGACGGGGGCGCCCCGCAACCTAGGCGACGCATTCATTTGAGTGTCTCCATGGCCGCAGTCCGGGGATGGCAAAACGAGGAGGGAAAGGGGGAAAACACGGCGGGGTGGATAGTTAGGAGGGCGTGTTTCAGGGCATGACGGGGGCCCCCTGCCAGCTAGGCGACGCATTCGTCCGAATGTCACCATGGCCGCAGTCGGGGGATGGCAAAACGAGGGGGGAAAGGGGGAAAACGCAGCGGGGCGGAATGGTTGGGAGGGCGTGTTTCAGGGCATGACGGGGGCCCCCTGCAACCTAGGCGACGCATTCATTCTAACATCATCATGGCCGCAGTCGGGGGATGGCAAAACAAAAGGGGGAAGGGGGAAAACGTTGCGTGGCGGGGCGGGAATTGGAACAGTACAGAGGTACCACCCATGTTCTTGTGGGTCTGGGGTCGATTCCCAGGTGTCCCGTACTGACCCATGATACATACACACATTTGTACGTGAGCACATGAGCACACGGATGGTGGGGCACACACATTCACCCGCAAAAGAACGGAGGGAGGAAAGGCCAAGGGAGCGAAGGGGACGGCAGAGGGGAAGGCACAGGATGGCAGAAGGGAGGGCAGATGGTAGGGGAAGGGAGGATGTTGGGAGGGAGCGTTGAGGGAAGTGGGGGGGATGATGGAGGAAGGGTGGAGGAAGAGTGGGAAATGGTATTGTGGAGGGATTATTGAGGGAGGGTGGAGTGAGGGTTGGAGGGAGGGAGGGTGAAATGAAGGAAGGATGGAGACGGAGCGCCATGTCTCCCTTACTTCACCCCCCCGAAGGAAAAAAACAGCCACACGGATCTATGGGGCCGGAGGCCTCAGTGATATTAGCATATGCATCATTCGCACCCACACGAATCCCCCAGGGTCCTGTCGTATTGAAGTCATTTAGCCGGTGGCTCCCCCGTTCGTTTGACTGGACATTCATAGGAGAGTCATCACACACACAACCAGAAGAGGCGCACAAACACGCGGCATGCCAAAACAGCCATCAAACCCTAAGTTATTGAACTTCTGGAGAGGCACCCCCAGACTCCCGGATGGGCAGTGGCAGGTGTTGTGTCGTATGCGGTTTTTTTTAATTGTTTGGATGTTGTGCACAACACATGGGTGAGGTGGGGTGGCCCATCCATCTCCGCCAGTCACCCGACAGCCCCTGGTTTGCCCTGCACCAACAGCACGCATGACCGGCAGTCTGAAAGCCATCCAGCTGCTGTGCACCTATGACCAACAGCCCAGCGCCTATGATCTATCTGCAATGTATCGACCCTAGACAAACCGTTTTGGGGCTCCTGGAGGCCCATAAAGCGCAGCCGGGGCAACATGCGTTCCCTTTAAGTCGACCATGCAATGCCTTGCCTACCCTATATTACAGAACAATCCTATGCTTTTCGGTGCTTTTCGATGGGTACAAAGCGAGAAGTCCTGTCATCATCATCGGCCATGTTGAAGTCGGAGGTGCCCGCGCGTGAAGCTGTTTGCTATACTAGTTAAAGCAATAACTTTGATTTAGCTATGAAGTCTCTGTAGCCTGTTCGTTTGGCTTTATGAAAATGCGTGACCTCTGTCCGGCCGTCGCAGTTACCATCTACCAAAGTATGTGCACTTTGCGCAGAATTTAAGCTATAAAGACAAGCAATAATTAACTCAATTGGTGTTCCTGGCCACTCCGGGGCATAGGCACTCCAGGTGGGCTTAGGTCTTGGCCTGCAGAACCCATCCACATTCACAAAATGCCTAAGTCATGCAAATGCGACAGCCTTTTCTGTAATAAATTACACCTCGAAATCCATGAACGGTTTGCCTCATTGGTACAGGTCGCTTGCAATCACGCCGTACACATCTTCATACATCAGTCCAGAATGAGTACATCCTGCTTACATTCGTCATTCATATAGGCAACATTGTGATATCATTGAGGAAGAGCGTGCTACATGCATAGCCAGAAACGAAGCTACGTTAGCAGAGCTTGGTCTTTTGCATTCACCTCCCCAGCCCAACAAAATTACAAGCACTGGATTGAAATCCCGCCGACTACATAGAAGGATCGACCAAGCAGTGCAGCCGGCGGTCGATCTTGTCCGCCCTACATCACGGCACAGTAGGACAGAGGTCACAGCCATTACAGGATCTGATACCACTGAAGAGTCCGAGGAATACTGTGAATTGGAAACAGCACATGAGCGCATGGTAAAGCTGTGACCTTTTGCGCCGCCGATTATCCTGATGAACTTGCTTGTCAAGCATGAATCCCTCTTTCTTTGCTACCCATTCCTTTCACATTATCGAAGGAGGCTATTCAGAACGTTCCTGAACCTAGTCCAGGTGACCTTCCTGGCCTTCAAGGCATTCCAGTGGAGATTCGGGATATGGCTGCAAAAATAGGCTTTGAAATCGGCTGTAGGCCGTTCCAGCTGTTCTACACAGCATATGACAAATGGAAGTCGGATTTCAAGCCGGCTTTTAACAGTCCAGGATCAGCCAAGGCTACCATGGACATGTTCAGCACCCTCTACGAAATGGGCTTCAGGGAGAGAGACCTTCTTGACCAGCAGCAGGTCAACAGGGTGAGCCTCAAAACGGTAAGCATAGAAACCTGTTGCTTTACTGTGAAAATACAGACTAAACGTGATGTTGTTACAATACAAAAACACAACCATTCCAGTCACTTGTTGAGGATGTTTTGTGTATCTGCTGCGCTTTATATGTTAAATTCTCCTTACTGAGAGGTACAACACTGCGCTGCTTAATGGATCTACAGTTCAAGGAGAGTGTCAAGCCCAAAATAGTACACGTGGTGCCACCAAACTTCATCAATGGGCTTGAGGCAGCCGTTGAGGCGGTTGCCAACCCAAACCCCCGGAAGAGGAAGAACTGCTGGGATAGCCAAGAAGGAGATGGGGACGATGGTGAACGTGATGGCACCAAGGATGCATCAGGAAGTGGGACTTCACAGGGTGTGCAGCGTGCCAAGAGGTACATCCTGGAGAAGTTGTACAAGTTCTTCGATCCAGTCCTGAAGGACTTCAATCCAGCATCCAAGATCTACTCGGAAGTGGTAAGTTTGGGGCAGGGTTGAATTATTCATCTTTGAAAGACTGTCACTCAATACTGATGGGTGCTCATGCTTGACTACATACCAAAAAGGAGATTGAGGACTTCAAGGTTACACTGGTTTATTTCCAATCCACTTCCTGCGGTTGTTCCATCTCTCAACCAGGGACTTCCAGACACGTGCGTGTATGTCCTGGTCGGTTGCTTCTGAGTCCAAGTGGAAGCCAGCCACAGTTCTGTCCCACCCAGTGTAACCATGAAGTCCTCAATCTCCTTTTTGGTATGTAGTCAAGCATGAGCACCCATCAGTATTGAGTGACAGTCTTTCA